TGTCCAGTATAAGCTGAGTATTTTGTCTAAATCAACATCATTCACATGGAGCTGGTGGATGTGCTTAGTAAATCTGAGTGAACCCAACAGGTTTTGTAAATGACTCCCAGTCTGGAGAAGTTTGAAACCGTCTCAGTGTTTTGCTACAAGACGACATCACCACCCCATCTCTGCGCTCACGCATGTTCTGTACTGACCTGTCCTCCGCTGCCTTGAGGTTACCTCATGTGTAACGAGCTGATCGGTGCCCTTCTGTCTGCGAGCACGCCTCACCCACCCGCGCGGTGATGTAGCATTACGCTAAGTTTGGTAGAGGTAAACAAATAAGCAAAAGCTAACTGTACGCCTTTCACTGTTACAGAGTAATTTCAGACCTGAGAAGAAACTTTTTCCAACAATGGGAACCCGTCCCATAGAGTCCTAAGTCCTTGATCCAGAATCAGAGCCTATTTAGTTCAGTGATATACGGCGAGTTAGTTGCATAGTACTTACAGGCCGAGGCTCCTGCTCGCGTCTTTTGAGTAAGCCATCAGTTTGCAATATAAAAATGAATTAAAAAAACACAGAAGACTAAATGCGCTCCAGGATGAGAGTACAATCAATCATCCAAATCTGATGAAACCACGGTAGCCCCAACGTAGTACAAGGGAAATTAATTATCTCTGCTATGATGAGCGTCGGCTTGTGATGCCCCCGACTAACTGCCCAGTGTTACAACCCACTTACTGTAATTAATCTCAGGTGCCATGAGCTATAAGCCGAGGCCACGCCGGATGCTTCCCCACACATTTGGTGACTACACGCCGAGGTGTGGGATGTGAAAAATTCATCTGAGGAAACGCATATGTGTTTCATATTGCACACTTTGGTTAAATGTAAAAATAGGAAGTCAGTAAAAGCAGAATTTCTACATGCACTCTGAATCCAAGAGACTTCTCTCCAGCAACCTGGCACCACAAACCTTTTATTAAATTTTTCTTGAATGCATTTCTGTTATTTACTTTAGTATAGCGCTATAGCTAATAAAGTTTCAGGACTCCTTCTTGTGTATTTTTCACATTACATTTATGGAAAAAGCTATTGCACCTCAAATTGGTCCTTATGGGCCAAGTGATTGCAGGTTTTTACACCAACCAAGCAATAGCACAACAGACCATTTCCATCCATTTCCTCAAGTCTCCATATTAAGGCTGAACTTTGTGTGTGGAAATAAGCTTTTAATTCAAACAGGTACAGATTTTTCCCTTTTTGCTTCTCATACAATTTGAGAGCAAGGGTGGGGTCAGGGCTGTTGATTAGAGGCTCACCTGCAAGATGAAAGCGTACATTCAATTTTGAAAATAGGAAAGAAAATAACAGAAGGCCAGAGAATGTATTTGAAATAAATGTAAAATAGGCCAGCTGAAGTTGATTCGGGTCCGATTAGCATTATACATTACCTCACACTCTAATCACCAATCAGCATCAACCATCTCATAGTTAAATAATGAAGGTAAGCCGCTACTGAAAGTAATCAGATAATTAAACTTAAACTCACATTATGTATTGTTAATAAATAAAGCTGATCATGTAGAACAGGAAAACCAAATTACAAGGGTATAACAACAGATCCAATGCAATGCTTCAGTCAATATGATGTGTCTAAATTCTGGTCCAAAGTTAGAAGCACATAATTCCGTTTATCTTTTGGGGAATTCCTTGAATTGATGAGTACTTTATTGACTGATAAGCTTTTTCCATCATGTAATATCCTGAATTTTCTTCCATCAATAATGTTAAATCTTTTCCATCCAACTGGATTAACTACAAGCTGGGGTTTCATGCCTTTGCTTTTTAATTCATATAGAGCAGAAAATCTACAGTACTTGAGACACCCCAAGACGCTTGCAGGTTGTACACATTACGCCTTATTCTGAACACTTGAAGACATGGTGACATTTGTTGCTTATACTGAAAAGTGAAGTATGAGATAAAGGCCAACTCAGCAAAAAAAAAGCGTAGTATTCCATCTACACAGAGCCAGTAGGTACAACAGGCACATTTGTACAGATGTATGGACCTATAGTTGACCTGAGCATCCTCTTACGCCACATGCTTTGAAAACGTGTCAGAGAAGAATTGAAGTTCAGAGATTTAGTTTGAACCTGAATTAAGTAATGGGCATTAACTTCTCCATCACCTCTGTTCTTACGCCACAGTAATAACGTGCTCACTCAAGCTGACAAGTTCACACTTTCATTTTCACTCCGAAATAAACCACTCCAGAGACACGAGGTGTGGTGGAAAGGAGTGATAATGATGTGTTTGATATCAAGGGTTGCTGTACAGGATATTAAAATCACACCAGATGTTGTAGTTGGACTAAGAGTTGTAAATGTTATAACCTTCATAAACATGAGAGGAACATGCCTTTTAAACTCAATTCACAAAGATAATAAACGTATTTAGTTTGACAGGCTTCGAGTCCAAACCATCAGCAAATACATCTCAACTTTGTACATTTAATTTACAAATACTTATGTAACTACTTAACATAAATACATAAGTAGTACATATATTTTTAAATTAGTCACATTGATAGCAATTTTGATATCTGATATTCAATAAATTAAATATAAACGCATTAAAAGTGTTGCATTTTGTTCAAATTTCCCGAAGCATTAGACAAGTGGCCAAAGTTTTTTTTTCTTTTTCTCGTGAGTTGAATAATTTGAAAATATATTGTATCAAATAGAAAGTTAAGTTCCTTATCGTGTCATGCATATTAAGATGTCCGTATGGGCAGACTCTGAAAGATATCCAGCCCTAATTGACACCAAAGCCTTTTCAACATCCAGTCTAAAATGCCAGAAGTTTAATGAGTGTAAAATAATCAAACTTAATCATTAAAAAGGGTAAGGTCAAAATGATACATGACTTACTAAACCCACTTCTGTAAAGTGGAGTGACATCAGTCTCCTGAGCCACACATATTGGCCATAAATCCTTAGCTGCTAACCGTTTCTGCATTAGCGGTTATGTCTGACTTGCACAGAGGGATTCACAGTAAAGACTGAGCTTCTAGAAGTCAATACAGGACAAGGTCAACTGAGAACCATTTTAGAATTTATATGAGGTGCTCATTATATTATTTTTGTAACAGTCCAAGATATGTTCCAAGATATAATTTGTGTGTATGCAAAAAATGTATAGATATATTGCGATTCAAAAATGAGCCAGATGATGATTTCAGCCACAAAATAAGGACTCTGAACAACTAAAAAAATATATATACCCAACTCAAAAAATAGAACTGGTAAAGTTTTATTTTTTCATATTTGAGCAAAAATCACTGAACTTATTGAACCAAGTGCGCAAAAGAACTTTTTTTTTTTTTCATTTGGATTTGGAGGAGCAGTGAGTACACCAAATTACAAGTTGATAACAAAAAACACAACACTGAGCAACTCTGTTTTGTAATGTCTGAAAGGAGCACAAATAAGAGAATAATGGCACAAAGGACAAAACAGACTTCCAGATCTATAAGCAACTGATGCATGCCCATTTCCTGTCAAATGTAAGAAACAAGACAAACAACCAGCAGAGAACAGTTATTAAGAGAGCTCTATAAAGAGACGAGGTTGCACCCAGGTTGCCAGAAGAAGTGCATTAGTACCGTCTGGAAGAGGAAGAGAAATGTCAAGGGAACATTCAGCAACCAATGAAAAATCCCCACAGCGGGACCAATAAAGATGATCCTAGGGCTGGAGTTTTTCTGCGTTCATACCATAAATAATATTGTTCTCATACAATTATTTCCTTGAAATTATTTTATCTGTGCCCAGAATGAGTCTGGCATGTGTGAGAATGGTTGAATGGAGGTCAGAAGGGCCAATGGCACATACCGGTTGCCTCACTTTAGTCGATGGGCCCAGGGCAGATATGGCTACAGTAGTAGTTTATCCCCCACTGTGTGTAGAGTGAATGAATAATGTCATGTCTGTGAGTGTCCCAAACAGCGCTATATAAAACCAATCCATTATGACCATTAATATTCTTATTTAGGACCATTTTTCCGGAAGTCCGCTAATCGGCTACATCATCAGACTCTTTGTTGCACTGCACAAATGTACATACATAATCATCTCAGTCTCTGTGAGCTTGAGCTGAATCAGGTCCTTCAGCAATAACACTCTTATACCATCAGAACTCCTCAACTGGCTGCTGCCTGTTTGGATTAGTCTCCATGGAAACGGACCAGACCGTCTGGCTGCTGATGAAGTGCTGTGTTATGATGATAATGGGTGTTGGAAAAAGTGAGTTCTGAAAATATGCTATACATTTGAAACCACTTTCAACAGATTGGTTAGTTCTTAGTGGAGAAAGATTTTCGAATGGAGGACCGTTCTTTCAGCTCTCAGTTCTCTGAATTGAGTTGATTCATTTTCTAACAAGGCTGTTTTTTTGGAGTAATACACCAATCTACACAGAAATATAAAAACAACCAGTCTAGTAACAAAAAGTAAACCATGCTTTTTCATGCCAAAAAAGAGATAATTGAGCCTAATTCATGTTTCTATCCGGCCTACAGACCCGGCCCGGCGGTCAGTTGCTTATTTAAATGAAAGGGAGTAATTGCCCAATGAAGATTCACACATTTACTCTATACAATTAACCTGGTACCTTATGACAGGTTTCAGATTGTCGTCAACGGTGCAGGTAGTTGGAATGAAGACTGATTAATATAAATTCTATATAATTTTCTACCCATAAAGAAAATGCTCAAGATTTGGGGTCTTCTGCCAAGATATTGAATCAAATATCTAAAAAACGTAAATATTAAATCTGAACTGTGTCCATCGTCATTATTAGGGTTCTTTGGAGAGATTAAACATGAACAAATTTTCTCATGTTGAGTCTTAATGATTTGTTGTGAGGATTGGGGAGGCGTCCGTTATTGAAACATATGCACACGGGAACTTATACTGTACATATATAAGGCATAAGGCAGTGACGCGTACCTGTGAGGGCTGTATGATTGGCTCTCCAAGGCTGGGCTGGCTGCTGGCTGGCTCTGCTCCTCTGCACTATGGCCTTGAGATTCCAGCCCTGAAGGAGTGCCTGCTTTACTCCCCTTCTTTTGGGACTTTCCACGGCTCTCGCGTTCCTCATCGTCGCTCTCCTCCCCAAGAATGTCATCCACCTGTTGAGTTCAAATGTTTTACGAAAATGCTCATATGTGCATTTGGTTGTTTTTTATCATTGCATTTCCTGTGTTTGAACTGTTCTATTCTCTGATCTGTGTTGGCGAGTTGACGGCTTGTAAAGTCCTACAAGATAACTACTTTTGTGATTTAGGGCGACACAAAAATAAAATGAATGGAAATTAAATTAAATATGTATGGGCATTTTATATTTTTTCCATTTTATTCCCTGATTCTGTGTCTATATAAAAAGGAAATGTAGACCATAGTCTGTTATTGTTTATCATATTAACAGATCATCAGTGCATCCCGACTTCATTTTATTTGTGTTAAACTTTCACTGTTCAGTGCAAAATACTTTGTTTGGAAGCTTAAACTTTGTAATAATTAACAAAATAATGAATTCTGAAGAAACAAGGCTTATCAAGGACATGCCTATGGATTAGCTTGTTCCCTAGATGCACCAAAGATTCCAAGTGTGTATCTAATTATATTACAGAAATGCTTATCTCTCTGAAAGAGATAAGCATTAATGAAGTAGGTTACATTGTACAGTAGTTAGAGTGAAGACTAATGCACTCTACAACAGGAAGAACAACTTAGAATCAGGAATGGGGCAGTGATGACATACAGAATACTCTTGGGTTTCATTTGACGTCGGGGCAGTGGCGCAAATGACATACGTGGGACGGGACAGGACCGGACCTGGCGGTGCATTCTGCTGGGTTTACAGTAAACACGGAGATATAGTAGAAGAAGAAGCGCTGTCAAAATTTAATCTTTTTGTGCTGTGTACGGTTGAAGCAACCACGCGAAAAGAGAGAAAGACTAGAGTTTCTTCCAAGTTCCAAAGGAGTACAATTTGAAAAAAAAATCACTTGAATGTGGGCGAGGTGGATCAAGGCTTTCCCAGATAAGTGCTCCCTGCAGGCCACCCACCCAGGTTGCAGAAATTTCTTGTAATTTTTTCCAAAAATGCCCAAAATCAAGACTCTTGAGAGAAATATTTACTCCCTTGGAATTGAGTGTCCCCTCTCCCGATTAAGACTGTTACAACAACCGTACACCGCACAGGCTGAGAGCCTTTTGACTCCAAAACAGAAAAGATTTACACAGTTTTCAATGGGAGCAAAACGGAGTTGTCCCATCTCTGCTCATTCGCCCCCTACAGGCCAGGTTAATGAAACTCAAAAAGAAAGAGCATTTAAAAAAAGGGAATCTTGTCATTTTTTGCAGCATTTGCAAAGCACTTCAATAGTTGCAGTCTTCGAATCACCCACAATTATGACATATAGGGTTGTTGTATATACAACAATATCGACTCATAATCCAATATTTCATTCATTTACGACACAGTTTTAGTTATATTTTTTCAAAGTTTTAGCTGCTTGGCGGATTGAGGATTCAATATACCGAAATATAAACAAATTGTGAGGTTGATTTTCTTAGCATAATGTTAATATATTTTCATAAAATTATTATAAAATCACAATGACTGCTATCATCTTGCTATATCGTATTTGCATCTGAGGCATACAGTTGGTTAAATACTATAATTTAATCACAATAACTTTCGGATTTGTTGTGACAGGCCAACATGCAGCTCTACCCAGGTGACCAGTGCCACAACAAAGAAGTCGTCAGTGGCCCAATACCTCATTAGCAGCATAAAGTGGAGAAAAAGTGGGACTAATGGACGGGACAGCCTCTCGGGGCTACAGCCAGGATCATTAGTGGCATCAAGACCAGCTCATTACGGCCTTTTGTTTGGCAACCGAGTGCATCATTGAAGGTGGAAGGTAGGATCGCTGTGGGCAAGCTACTAATATGGGGTCAGCACAGAAGACTTCAATAAGAATGACCTCTGCGGGTACAGACCAATTATACGTGGGTTCACAGAGAGATCTTCCGCTCCATTTGCTGGAACTTATCCTCCCACTAAATGCGTGCCCTCCCATGTCATTAGTGTCATTTCCGACCAGCCAAGGCCAATAATGAAGAGATGATAGAATATACCAGATTTCCTAAAGCATTCAGATTGTCATTTGAAATACTAAACCTCAAATGTAATCTTACATTAAAGAGTACATACAAAAAGAGTGTATGAGGGTTGCTGTCTGAGTCAAAGTTGGCAGGTTTTATTCATAAATACTGTTGTCTGTTTGGGGCTTGTTGTGACAATTACAATTTCTACTTGCAGTAGCAGGACGAAGTAAAATGCATCAAAAAATACAAAAAATAAATAATAGCTGCAATCCACGCCTGCCATATTTCCCAGAGGATCTCAAATATGTTTGGAAACTGGAAACATTTACTGTGAAAAACGCCATCCTTTTTCCTTAGGTAGGTATTCCCAAAGTGTATATTAGATACATTGTAATACTATTTCTAACTATATATGTTTTGTACAGGGTTGTTTTGTCCCTTCACAAATTGTTGTTCCTTTCTTTGAATTTACAACAACGATGTGTCATTTCGAAACATTATACCGTTACCATTATACTTCCATGTCATAATGTGATATACAATTTCAGCCTTTATGCCCAGCTCTTCAATAGACCTATTTGCGACTACCAGCAAATATCAAACGGCCAGATCAGTAGAAAACGGACTGCCAGATCACTACACTGTAAAGCCAATCTCCAGTTCTCCACGTCCGAAAACGGCTTCTGACCTCAGCAAAAAAGAAAGCATTAACAATCCCCTCCACCGCGCTGCACTCGTCCCACAGCCTCCGCCCGTAATCAAAGGCCAAGCGAAAAGCACACAGAGAAACTTTTCAGTGTCCCTCAGAGCTGCACAAGGGTCAGGCTGTGAACTGCAAAAGGCACGATAAAAAACATGTTATACTGTTGACTGAGCTTAGATAAAGATGAATGGATTTAATTTAAAACAAAGAAAAGGTGTGGCCCAGTCTTGGCCAAATTGTCTGAAAATGTCAATATTTTTTGAAGGAATTCTGAAAAATCATGACCATTAAACTCACAATAAACAACATCACTAAACCAGGGACTGGAACCATCAGGATCACAATTTTTACAGCAGTACTTACAGCTCAGTTGTGCCATTCAATTTCACAAGATGCTTAAATCTTTGTTTAAAACTGTTTAAACTATTAATCGATAACTGCAATTCATTAAATATTTCAATAACTGAACAGGGGGGGGGGGGGGGGGGGGGGGGGGGGGGGGGGGGGAGTGGGGTACAGTGGTACAGTGGTAGAGGACAATCTTGAGGTCATGAATCCAGTGAAATTAGTCGCACACCTTTTTACAGTAATAAGTTACAGCAGATCAAAAATGACATGTTTTGACTATTTTGGAGGTATTTTGGACCAAAATGGCTTCTTTAAATCAGTATTTCTCAAAATTTCTACAGTAAATGTTTCTTGTCTTTGGTACAGTGGTAGAGGGCAATGTTGAGGTCATGAATCCAGTGAAATTAGTCGCACACCTTTTTACAGTAGTAAGTTACAGTAGATCAAAAGTGACATGTTTTGACCATTTTTAGGCTATTTTGGACCAAAATGGCTACTTTAACTCCATATTTCTCCAAATTTCTACAGTAAAAGTTTCTGGTCTTTGGTACAGTGGTAGAGGGCAATGTTGAGGTCATGAATCCAGTGAAATTAGTCGCACACCTTTTTACAGTAAAAAGTTACAGTAGATCAAAAGTGACATGTTTTGACTATTTTTGAGGTATTTTGGACCAAAATGGCTACTTTACCTCAATATTTCTCAATATTTCTACAGTAAAAGTTTCTGGTCTTTGGTACAGTGGTAGAGGGCAATGTTGAGGTCATGAATCCAGTGAAATTAGTCGCACACCTTTTTACAGTAAGAAGATACAGTAGATCAAAAGTGACATGTTTTGACTATTTTGGAGCTATTTTGGACCAAAATGACTACTTTAAATCAATATTTCTCAATATTTCTACAGTAAAAGTTCCTGGTCTTTGGTACAGTGGTAGAGCGCACTCATGAGGTCATGAATCCAGTGAAATCAGTCGCACACCTTTTTACAGTGAAAAGTTACAGTAGATCAAAAGTGACATGTTTTGACCATTTTTAGGCTATTTTGGACCAAAATGGCTACTTTCTACAGTAAAAGTTTCTGGTCTTTGGTACAGTGGTAGAGGGCAATCATGAGGTCGTGAATCCAGTGAAATTAGTCGCACACCTTTTTACAGTAAAAAGTTACAGTAGATCAAAAGTGACATGTTTTGACCATTTTTAGGCTATTTTGGACCAAAATGGCTACTTTACCTCAATATTTCTCAATATTTCTACAGTAAAAGTGTCTGGTCTTTGGTACAGTGGTAGAGGGCAATCATGAGGTCATGAATCCAGTGAAATTAGTCGCACACCTTTTTACAGTAGTGAGTTACAGTAGATCAAAAGTGACATGTTTTGACCATTTTTAGGCTATTTTGGACCAAAATGGCTACTTTAACTCCATATTTCTCCAAATTTCTACAGTAAAAGTTTCTGGTCTTTGGTACAGTGGTAGAGGGCAATGTTGAGGTCATTAGTCGCACACCTTTTTACAGTAAAAAGTTACAGTAGATCAAAAGTGACATGTTTTGACTATTTTGGAGGTATTTTGGACCAAAATGGCTACTTTACCTCAATATTTCTCAATATTTCTACAGTAAAAGTTTCTGGTCTTTGGTACAGTGGTAGAGGGCAATAATAAGCTCATGAGTCAAGTGAAATTAGTCGCACACCTTATTCCAGTAAATAGTTACAATACTTGAAAATTGCACTAGCGGACCAAATTGTGTACTTTATATATGTAAACAATAGAGTGGCTATCCTCCTGAGGACTCACAATCTGCCGGAGGAATCGTAGGGGGCTGGTGCTATGTGTCATCTCTATAAGGTTTAAATCACAAAAACGTGTCTCCCTGACCCCAGCGCGCTTTCTGTTCGATAAAAATGGGTGACTCCGAAAGGACGTTCCGCTGTTACCGTAAGTTCTCAACAAAACGCGCACCGTCTTTTCCCCGATGCGGCCCGCATGTTCATAGAGCTGAAAGATGCGAGCCACTTTACCGCGGTGTCAAATGCAGAGGACAAATTTCCCTACGGGGACAATAAAGTGCACAATTACATTTCTCTGGTCTCTGTCAGATATATTATAGTGTCTCTTTCTGGTCTCTCTCTTTCTACTCTCTCATTGATATCTGTGGTGTCTGTATGCATGTTTTCTAGACCTCTGTCACATCTTTAGATCAGCTTTTTCAGACAGAAAAGTGAAAACAAGAGTATCACTTTGACTCAATCTAATCAGTTCTCAGCCCAAAGAGCCAAACTGACTGACTCTTTTGGCTGAGACTCTGACTCTAAAAATAACATATTTTCTAATGAGATGCAGACAGCTTATAGTTATCCGAACAAAACATGCGTTATTCAAGAAGCATACATTTAGGTTTCCCAGCTTTAATATCGCTTCTACAATGACGTCATGACAATCTGCAGTTCTGCTTTCCTCCGGGAGGTGGCGGTAACACGTCACTCTATTGTTTACACCGTGGACAGAGAAGAAGCTCGCACAGCTGTCTCCTCTGGTCCTCCCCTGGTCCTCCTCCGGTGTCTCCTCCGGTCCTCCTCCGGTCCCCCTGACTCCCGCAGACTCACAGGTCCCTCTCCTCCCCTGTCTCTCTCCTCTGCTCCCGCTCCTGCTGCTGCTGCGCCTGGATCATCCAGCTCCGTGAGTCCAGGCCTCTGCTCTCCCCCATCTGTCTGCTGTCTCCTCCTCTCCTCTCCTCTCCTCCTCTCCTCTCTCTTCTCACTCTCTGCGTCTCTTCTCTCTCTCAAATCTTTTCTCCACACCCCTGCCCTCCCCCTCTCTATCCCCTACTCTCTCTCTCATCTCCTTTCCTTTCTCCTCACTCCTGTCTCCTCTCTCTCCTCCTCTCCTCATCTTCTCTCTTCCCCAGGTCTCCCCCCTTCTCCCCCTCATCCTCTCATCATGGTGGTCCACGTGGAGTCCCAGTGTGAGTACCTGATGTATTTCCCCGCGGTGCCGCTGCGCACGTGTGAGGACGTATCCCGGTACCGGAGCCTCCCGCGAAGAAGTCACGTGTTCCTGGGAGAGAGGGTCCGGTTCCTGCTGGTGCTGAGGTCCAAGGACCAGGACCCGAGTAAGTCCTGCTTTAGACCTGCTTTAGTCTTTGTTTAGACCTGCCTTAGACCTGCTTTAGAACTGCCTTAGACCTGGTTTAGACCTGTCTTAGACCTGCCTTAGACCTGGTTTAGACCTGATTTAGACCTGCCTTAGTCCTGCTTTATAGCTGCTTTAGGCCTGCTATGTTTTAGTCCTGGGCTAATCCTGAATGATAGCGGTCATAAAGTGGAGCCTTGAGGAACTCCCTGTGGTCTACAGCTCGCTCGGACAGTGGATCCGGATCCTTCCAGGACTTGGCCTCGTCCCTGTGCGCTGTGGCCAGCGTTTCCCCCGGCGACAGCTCGTCCCGCCATCGCGGGAACCACCAGCGTCACCATAGCGACGACCAGGACGACTACATGGCGGCGGCGGAGGCAGCCATCGCGGCGCTCGGTAACCGCGTTGACTCACGCTGTCGCAGCTTCAGGGACTGTAAGGCCCTGGTCATCCACACAGGGCAGCAGAGAGCACAGGTACCATCATACAGAGCACAGGTACCATCATACAGAGCACAGGTACCATCATACAGAGCACAGGTACCATCATACAGAGCACAGGTACCATCATACAGAGCACAGGTACCATCATACAGAGCACAGGTACCATCATACAGAGCACAGGTACCATCATACAGAGCACAGGTACCATCATACAGAGCACAGGTACCATCATACAGAGCACAGGTACCATCATACAGAGCACAGGTACCAGCATACAGAGACCACAGGTACCAGCATACAGAGACCACCGGTACCAGCATACAGAGACCACCGGTACCAGCATACAGAGACCACAGGTACCAGCATACAGAGACCACAGGTACCAGCATACAGAGACCACAGGTACCAGCATACAGAGACCACAGGTACCAGCATACAGAGACCACAGGTACCAGCATACAGAGACCACAGGTACCAGCATACAGAGACCACAGGTACCAGCATACAGAGCACAGGTACCAGCATGCAGAGACCACAGGCGCCTAACCCAAAGCAGGGCAGTCCTGGTTAGTACTGTGATTGGAGACCACTGGGAACACCACCTGCCATAGTGGGGCCGCTGCGGCTTTAAAGCTGCATTACCTGACTCTATTTTTGTATTCATTACGAAAATTCAATCCATATCCTGCAGTGCATTGGGATATACATCCTTTTGAAGAATAAGTAGCGCAGATTTGTGCTGGCCTGTCCTTTGATTTTAGATCGAGTTTTTTGTGAAACAAGGAAGATAATTAGTTTTGGGTCTAGATTGTGACCAATCACAGCGGACCACTGGCCCCCATTTTCTTGAGTAAAGCTACAGGTCTCTTGTTAGCACAGACAGCTGAGGTAAACAAGCGGCGGAGGCGAACCTGAAATTTCCTGTGTCTTCGTCACCGGTTACTGCTTACTCAGAGAAACAATCAAAAGAAAGTCTCGTCCTCTCCGCTTCCGGTTCTATCATTTTATGTTCACGCCATCCATGTCTCTGTGGCCGCGTGCATGAGAGCCACGCACAAGCCATTGATTTGAATAGGCCGCTGATCACCAGGGCTTGGTCTGGTGTGTGTGTGAATGGTTGTTGGTGATGGGAGGGGCCAATAGCACATACTGGTGGCCTTCTGTTCAGTGTGCCCCAGGGCAGCTGTGGCTACACTAGCCACTATCACCACAGTGTTTGGAGTGGATGATATAAGCTGTGAAGTCTGTGTTTGGAAACCACCTGTAATAAAACACATGCATTGTTCATATCATTATCTGAAAAAATATCTCTGTCTCTGTCTCTGTCTCTGTCTCTGTCTCTGTCCTCTGTCCCTGTCCTCTGTCCTGCAGTCCGCAGATCAGCCTGTGGTTCTCTCTGATGAGGTCATCTTTCCTCTCACTGTGACGCTGGACAAACTTCCAGTGAACACTCTCAAAGTCAAGGTACAAGACCAAGTACTACTGCTATTACTACTGCTGCTACAGGTACTGCTGCTGCTGCTGCCGCTACTACTACTACTACTACTACTACTACTACTACTACTACTACTACTACTACTACTACTACTACTACTACGACTGCTAATGCTGCTATTACTGCTACTAGCACCACTACTACTATTTCTGCTACTGCCACAGTGTCCGTGTTGCAGGTGATGGTGACTGTGTGGAAGCGGGAGCAAGACAAGCCTGAGGTGCAGGAGATGGGGTATCTGTCTGTTCTCCAGCAGAGGGCGCCGGTGCACACCTTCAGACACGACCTGAACACCTTCAAGGCTCAAGGTGAAGACCCTGCTAACATCCTAACGCAGACTGTATACAGGTGGACAATGCTAACACTGACTGTAAAGTTCTCAGGAGAAAGCTATGTTTAGCTGGTGCTAGCTTAGTGGTTGCTGCGGGGGCTATTATTTACAATAGCACTAAGAAGAAAATTGAATGGATTTGTGATTTAACTTCCACAATATGAATGCATTGTCGACTTGTGTTGTTTCCGTGCGCTGCGGTCTTTGATTCCAAGTCGGACTCCTCCATGTTTTTAAACTACAGTCTCCGCCGTGCGCTCACTGTCGTTAACTTGGACTTGTTGGAGGCGTAGTGCGTGGACACAACGTTTTCTTTGTTGTTGTTTTTTACCTTAAAGACGTAATACGTGAAAGTATGTATTCCCATGATTGTAAATACTAGATGTTAAAGAAGTAGCTGTAACGGAATACAGTTACTAAAAAGTATTCTGAATACGTAACAGCATTACATGTATTTTGTTATTCCCCAACACCGCTAACCCTATGCTAACCCTATGCTAACCCTATTCTAACACTATGCTAACCCTATGCTAACCCTATGCTAACCCTATTCTAACACTATGCTAACCCTATGCTAACCCTATGCTTACACTCTGCTGTGTCCTCAGTCAGTACCACTCTGAGCGTCCTGCCGCCGCCCACAGTGCGGTGCAAACAGATGACTGTGTCCGGGCGCCACCTGGCGGTTGTCAAAGGTACTGCACGTTATCAGTACTTTTAAATGAGCGTGCTACATAAATAACCTCTCCTCCTCTCTAGTTCTGAACCAGTGTTCCCTGGAGGAGCTGAGTCTTCAGGACGTGAGGATCCTCCCGAACCTAAACGCCTCCTACCTCCCTGTGATGCCTGATGGTTCTGTGCTGCTGGTGGATAACGTCTGGTGAGTTAAACCAAGTCCTTTCCCGGTCCTGGTCCTGGTCCTGGTCCTCATGTGTTGTGTGCAGTCATCAGTCTGGAGAGGTCTCCATGGGTTCCTTCACTCGGGTCGACTCGCCCTCGGGGAAATTACCCAGCATGCTCAGCGCTCTAGAGGAACACGACTTCCTGTTTCAGCTTCATCTTAACGACACCAACGAGGAAGAGTCCACCGAGGTTAGAATGGGGTAGACCGGGTTTAGTCCTGCTTTTGAGAGGCTTTAGACCAAATTTAGATCTGCTTTAAACATGCTTTAAACTGGCTTGAGACCAGCTTGAGACTGGATAGAAAGGCTTTAGATCTGCTTAAGCCCTGCGTCCTGTGGTCAGGGTTTGGAGGTCCCTCTCATCGCTGTGATCCAGTGGTCGACGCCCAAAATGCCGTTCACCTCCTGCATCTACACTCACTATAGGTAAGTTTTGAGAAAGTGTCAATGTTCTCTGATGATGTCATGTGTCTCTGATGTCATTGGTGATGATGTCATGTTCCTTGTGATGTCACAGACTGCCCAGTATCCGCCTGGACCTGCCACGGTTTGTGATGACCGCCTCATCTCCGCGCACTGTTCGGGTGAAAGATCTGTTCAGGGTCAGATACGTGCTCCTCAACAACCTGCAGGACTTCCTCTCAGTGAGACTGGTCTGGACCCCTGAGGGTGAGTGTGGACCCCTGAGGGAGAGGGTGAGTGTGGACCCCTGAGGGTGAGTGTGAGTGTGGACCCCTGAGGGTGAGTGTGGACCCCTGAGGGTGAGTGTGGACCCCTGAGGGTGAGGGTGAGTGTGGACCCCTGAGGTTGAGGGTGAGTGTGAACCCCTGAGGGTGAGTGTGAGTGTGGACCCCTGAGGGTGAGGGTGAGTGTGGACCCCTGAGGGTGAGTGTGGACCCCTGAGGGTGAGGGTGAGTGTGGACCCCTGAGGGTGAGTGTGGACCCCTGAGGGTGAGGGTGAGTGTGGACCCCTGAGGTTGAGGGTGAGTGTGAACCCCTGAGGGTGAGGGTGAGTGTGGACCCCTGAGGGTGAGGGTGAGGGTGAGTGTGAACCCCTGAGGGTGAGTGTGGACCCCCTGAAGGTGAGTGTGGACCCCTGAGGGTGTGGACCCCCTGAGGGTGAGTGTGGACCCTGAGGGTGAGGGTGAGGGTGAGTGTGGACCCTGAGGGTGAGGGTGAGGGTGAGTGTGAACCCCTGAGGGTGAGTGTGGACCCCCTGAGGGTGAGTGTGGACCCCCTGAAGGTGAGTGTGGACCCCTGAGGGTGAGTGTGGACCCCCTGAGGGTGAGTGTGGACCCCCTGAGGGTGAGTGTGGACCCCTGAGGGTGAGTGTAGACCCCTGTGGGTGAGTGTAGACCCCTGAGGGTGAGTGTAGACCCCTGAGGGTGAGTGTAGACCCCTGAGGGTGTCTCTCTCTCCGGTCTATGGTCTCTCTCTTGTTCCTGGTCTCTCTCTGGTCTCTGGTCCCTGGTCTCTCTCACGTCCCTCTGTCCCTCAGCCCGTGGACACACAGACTCGGACCTGTCTTCGGTCGTGTGTCTCTCTCCGCTCTCGAACCTCGGTCAGTGCAGACGAGGGAGCACTCTGTCCTTCAGCGTCGGCTTCCAGATCCTGCGACCGGGACTCTATGAGGTGAGATGTCTCACTCTCAGAGCTGGTGCTTGCCTTGTTGGGGCCCTAAGCAGAAGTCAGCATAGGGGCCCTACACCTAATTCAAGAAACCATACAAATTAAAGCCTGCAGACGTTCCATTACACCTATATATCACAAATAAATAATTCACACTAATTAAGCAATATAAGAATTGATTAGTGATTGATTCAACACAAGAGAAAACAACATTTGAACTTTTCAAACATGATAAAAGATTAGATATGATAAGATAGACTTTATTGATCTCACACAGGAGAAATGTACATGTCACATTTGGCATAGATAGAATAACTCCGATTTGTACAAAAGACAGTGTGCAAACATGTTAAAATACAAAAATAAACAAAATACAAATATTAGTAATATTAGTAATATATATAAACATATATTTCATATAAAATGTAAATAAAAACTAGTTTCATTATTAACACCTCTAGTATTAGTATATTACCTTAATATAAATATTAGTTGTGCATTATACTAACACTGTTATCTAAATTACAAATGTAACAAAATACTTCCGATTACCAAAGGAAGCACTTTTATTTTGAAGGTGTCCACCTTAACCACAACAGAGAGCTTGACTGATTAAGTTGTTTTGGGACTTGTTAAAACCAGAAATAAAACATGTCAGACACAATTTTGAACTTTCTTTGCAGACAGTCAATGCATCGGGTCGGCAACCACACGTTTTTTACCCAACTGTTCCCGCAGTTCGCTTTCTTTTTTTCCTTTTTTCATAACTCCGCTTTACAGCGTCTCAGCCTCTGCTCGGGGCTGCGCGACTGACAACAACAAGGTTGGAGGGAGGAGAGGGTATGGGAGGGTTGAAAGTGCTACTTAAGGACATAACGTATGAGGATCATGGGAGACAGTAAGTGACAACTTTAACAACCAATCAAATGGGTGATTCCGGATAAGAAGGGCCTCGTAACTGCACGAGTGAGAGCGATGACAAAAAAAAAAAAAAGAGTCCGCTCTCCGGGGCCCTTCCAGCTGCGGGGCCCTACGCATACTGCGTAGTCTGCGCATAGGAAGCGCCGGCTCTGCTCACTCTGGTCTCTCTCTGGTCTCTCTCTGGTCTTTCTGGTCTCCCTCTGATCTCAGCTGTTGTTTGTTTGTTTACCTGCAGTTATCTCAACACATGAAGTTAAAGCTGCAGTTCACCGCCTCAGTGTCCAACCCTCCTCCAGATGCCCGCCCCCTTTCACGTAAGACACGCCCCCTTTTTGTAAGACACACCTCCTCCCACATAAGACCACAGATCGAATATTAGAAGTGAACTGTTGCAACATCCATTTCTGTGGTACTTTGTTTTACTCTGGGGTACTCTGTGGTACTTTGTTTTACTCTGTGGTACTCTGTGGTACTTTGTTTTACTCTGTGGTACTCTGTGGTGCTTTGTTTTACTCTGTGGTACTCTGTGGTGCTCTGTGGTGCAGGTAAGAACAGTCCGTCCAGTCCTGCGGTCAGGGACCTGTTGGATCGACACCAGAACAGCTTGGGACGATCTCAGTCTTTCTCCCATCAGCAGCCATCACGCTCTCATATTATGAGGTAAAGTACTACTACTGCTACTGCTACTATTACTATTACTACAGCTACTGCTACTGCTGTGCTATGTGGTCAGTGTTGTCCACTCTGTGTTGCAGGACCGGTAGTGCCATGGAGCGCCGGGCCATCACCCCTCCAGTGGGCTCCCCTGTGGGCCGCTCCCTCTACCTGGCTCCCCCCGAGCGCTCCGTACTCTCCCTGGACAAGATCGCCAAGAGGGAGTGCAAAGTGCTGGTGCTCGCGTGAGTGCAAAGTGCTGGTGTTAGCTTGAATGCAAAGTGCTGGTGTTAGCTTGAATGCAAAGTGCTGGCATTAGCATGGGTGCAAAATGCTGCTGCTAGCATGAGTGCTTGTACTGGGACAAGAGGACGACAGGGGGTCGCCAGGACCTGCTAATACCTGCTAACTCTTGCTAACGTCTGCCAACACCTTTAGTAAACAATTTCCTGAACTTACTGAAAATGTTTGTAACGTTGAAACAATAAGTGTTCATGCACTTTTATTAACTGTTTTAGTCACAATGTTCCCTGCACTTTACGGGACTTTTATGTGAACGCAGCTTGAGGTGTTTAAAGTGCCGGTGTAACGCCGAGATACACTTCCTTGAAGAGATGCACTTCCCCAGCTGTTTATGATGTAATGCAAACCTGCGCATGCGCGTCTCACGGCAACCGAAGCAAACCAAGATGGCGGACCGTGAATTGCTTTAAAAGTTGAAATACGAACGAATTAAGACACGAATGTCACTTTTAATGCAATTTGAGGCGAGATGTTGATGGTTCCGTTTTGTCACATGTGGGTTTTAAGAGTCAAAGTTTCGTGCAAAGTTTAGTTTAAGCAGTCAACTGCGTCTGTGAAACCACAAAGCTAATGTTTTCATAGCAGTCCGCGGCTGCTGACGTAGGCTGATGACGTAGGCTGATGACGTAGGCTGATGACGTAGGCTGCTGACGTAGGCTGCTGACGTAGGCTGCTGACGTAGGCTGCTGACGTAGGCTGCTGACGTAGGCTGCTGACGTAGGCTGATGACGCGTCCTGTGGCAACTCTACAGCTTACAACTGGTCTGTCGGGTTCATAATGGAAATAATAAATTTCATTCAATACATGTATCGTACTGTATTTAATATGATTAACAATAGTGTGTTCAAACAAAATATTTAATTAGATTGATTTTTTTCCCCATTTTCCATTATCAACCCGACAGACCAGTGTAAAGAGTGTAGAGTGGCCACAGGACGCGTCAGCAGCCTACGTCATCAGCCTACGTCAGCAGCCACGGACTGCTATGAAAACATTAGCTTTGTGGTTTCACAGGCGCAGTTGACTGCTTAAACTAAACTTTGCACGAAACTTTGACTCTTAAAACCCACATGTGACAAAACGGAACCATCAACATCTCGCCTCAAATTGCATTAAAAGTGACATTCGTGTCTTAATTCGTTCGTATTTCAACTTTTAAAGCAATTCACGGTCCGCCATCTTGGTATGCTTCGGTTGCCGTGAGACGCGCATGCGCAGGTTTGCATTACATCATAAACAGCTGGGGAAGTGCATCTCTTCAAGGAAGTGTATCTCGGCGTTACACCTGTGTTGCTGTGAGTGTGAGGGGCTTTGAGGAAGGAAGAGGAGTTTGTCATTGTTTGGTTTCTTCAAACCAAAGATAAAGTGCTTAGTGCTCACAGACGTAAAGTCGTTCACCACAATAAGAGGTTTAGAATGGTCCTAAAATTAAAACACAGACTGAAAACAGCCCCAGAACACAGAACATACACAAGCACTTTAAGCACTTTGTAAATATGTTTTAAATAGGAGAGAATGGCAGTGACAGACGCAGAGCACCCTGCGGTCGCGCTGCGATGACCAATTGGACTCAAACTTGAATATTTAATGTATTTATTTCTTATTTATCGTGTGAACGAATGAAGTGCAGTAGGAAGTGTCCTTATATGGAAAACCCTCGGCAGCCGTCAAAGCGCTACAAAATAATTAAAAATACAAGTTGTTTCTTTATTCACACAAATCCATATTTAGGAACGTTTGAACTTAGGCACATACTGAAATGTGCTAATGCTAATGCTATCTGAACTCTTATGCTAACCACTTAATGCTTACAAAACTAATGCTAGTATAACTCTAATACTAACGACATTCTATTGCTAATGGAATTCTTCTGCTAACAGTGCTCTACTGCTAAGAAAGCTAATGCTAATGACACTGTAGTACTAACAAAACTGATACTAACACAACTGTAATGCTAACAAGTTTGTATAACGTTTTTCATGAACTACTTTGGAGTAACTTAGCATAAGCTTAGCATTAGCATGTTGCATTAGCTTTAAAAACAGACTCTTACGAAAAACGTATTTGCTGCATTCGTTACAATATTGCACTAATTTGTTCTTTATTTAAAGATGTAAATGTTTCATGTTGTCTCCTCCGTCGCCACCTGCTGTTTGGGGTCCGTATCGTTTCCTTTGAACTTAAATGTCATTGTTTACATCCACATTCTGTTTTTAAAGGACGTTGAACGGCGCCACCTGCTGTTTGTCTTTTTTTAACGCAGAAGAATGTTTCAAAGCTGTTTTGTTTTCTTTTAAAGTGTTTAAACTCTTGAACAGAACGCTGGTAGATTCAACTGTTTTAAAAGTTTTAAATGTTTAATATTGAGGTAAAACAGAGGAACAATTAGAGAAATGTTAACAGTATTTTTGTTTTTTCGATTTTGTCTGTAATAATGTGACATCACTTTGAACCAGGTCTGAAGCAGAGACTGGACTCAGCCTCAGCTTCTCGAATGTCTGACAATAAACCGTTAAACCAGAGAGTTTGTGTTTGTTTCACCGAGAGACGGGTGAAAAGCAAGAGAGAGGCCAGAGAGAGGCCAGAGAGAGGCCAGAGAGAGGCCAGAGAGAGAGACCAGAGAGAGACCAGAGAGAGACCAGAGAGAGACCAGAGAGAGACCAGAGAGAGACCAGAGAGAGGCCAGAGAGAGACCAGAGAGAGACCAGAGAGAGGCCAGAGAGAGACCAGAGAGAGACCAGAGAGAGGCCAGAGAGAGACCAGAGAGAGACCAGAGAGAGGCCAGAGAGAGGCCAGAGAGAGGCCAGAGAGAGGCCAGAGAGAGACCAGAGAGAGACCAGAGAGAGACCAGAGAGAGGCCAGAGAGAGACCAGAGAGAGACCAGAGAGAGGCCAGAGAGAGGCCAGAGAGAGGCCAGAGAGAGGCCAGAGAGAGGCCAGAGAGAGGCCAGAGAGAGGCCAGAGAGAGGCCAGAGAGAGGCCAGAGAGAGGCCAGAGAGAGGCCAGAGAGAGGCCAGAGAGAGGCCAGAGAGAGGCCAGAGAGAGGCCAGAGAGAGACCAGAGAACTTACAGTATCTGAATGTCCTTGTTCAAACTGGAATCTGTTGTAAATAATAATACACAGTAGAATAGCTGGTTTATTTGGTTAGTGCACTTTATACACAGCAAAACTCCAATATGTATTGACCTGAGGCAAAAGCAAACACACTGAAAATTAGATAAAACATCCCCTCTCTTCTCCTCTCTCTTCTCCTCTCTCTCTCCTCTCTCTCCTCTCTCTCCTCTCTCTCCTCTCTCCTCTCTCTCCTCTCTCTCCTCTCTCCTCTCTCTCCTCTCTCTCGCTCTTCTCTCTCCTTTCTTATGAAACAGTATTTAGCCTCTTGTGTGGATGTTGGGAACCACAGCTGAATCTGTCGTTCAGATGGCCACACTGTTCTCGATGCGCTCCGGATCCAGGTAAATGTAAGGCAGCGTGATGGTGTCACCAGAAATGGCCCCGAGCTCGGTGTTCCGTTGTGTGATGTCATCAGAAATCGCCTTCAGCTCGGCCTGCACTGCCTCCACCAACCTGCGGGGGGCGGCGGAGTGGAGGAATTGCTGCTGGTATCTGCACAGAGGAACCTGAAGGATACAGGCAGTGGGCGCTGCGTCAGTCACGTGATCAGTGATGTCACACAGACAAAGACAATAAATCCAAATAGACCCTGTATGTACATCTATAGTTTACTATGTGACGGGGGTGTGGGCGGGGCCAGGTGAAATGTGGGCGTGGCTAGAAGACGTACACTCGCATATTCATTGGCATACGCAGACATGAGCTAGGTAAAGGGTTATGGGCGTGGTTACAGAGTTATGGGGTGACACGTGGGTGGGGCTTGGTGATACGTGGGTGGGGCTTGGTGACACGTGGATGGGGTTAGGTGACACGTGGGTGGGGCTTGGTGACACGTGGGCGGGGCCAGGTGGCACGTGCACTCACATATTTGTCGGCGTGCGCAGACAGAATGCTCAGTGACGTCAGCACGCGCAGACTCGTGTTCACGTCCGGCAGAAACGACAGGAAGTCCTCCTCCGTCACACGACCTTTGACCTGCGGGGGCGGGGCCATCATACAGGAAGGAGTGTTCGGGATCCAGAGGCCAAAGTCCAACTGAGAAACACATGTATAAAGCTGAGGTATGTAACTAATCTCGTAAATAACACATGTTTAAAGCTGGGGGATGTAACTTTAGCAAGACCACAACATGCTGTCTTCTTTTGTGTCAGAAAGAACCCTGTGAGTCACTATTTGACTCTTTGAGCAGAGAGCTGATTGGCTGAGTGCATGTGAACAGTTTAAACTTGGGTTAGTTTCACTTTCACCTGAGAGAAGTTGACAGCGGCGTGAAGGGCGGAGCTACAGAAAATCACCATGGTAACGAACTCCGACAGGTCGGCTTTGGACTTGAGGCTCTGAGGGAAACCTGAGACAAGACTTTTACTCTTCACTGTTCTATTCAGAGGTTCTGCTTTAGACCCGGGACAACAGGGGAAAGACCAGATAGAGACACCAGAGAGAGGCCAGAAAGAGACCAAAAAGAGACCAGAGAAAAACCAGAGAGAGAGACCAGAGAGAGGCCAGAAAGAGTCCAGAGAAAAACCAGAGAGACCAGATAGAGATCAGAGAGAGACACCAGAGAGAGTCCAGAAAGAGACCAGAAAAAAACCAGAGAGAGAGAGACCAGAGAAAGATTAGATAGAGTCCAGAAAGAGACCAGAGAGACAAGAGAAAGATCAAAGTGAGAGACCAGAGAGGGACCAAAGAGACGTCAGAAAGAAAGACCGGAGAGTGGCAAAAGGGAGCGAACGGAGAAAATAGAGCAAGAGACCAGAAAGAGAGACCAGAAAGAGAGACCAGAAAGGCAGATGGGATAGAGACCAGAAGAGAGAGGGACCAGAGCCCGGGTTTAGACCAGAGAGAATCCCATTTTGATGGATATGAAGATTCTCAACCTCTTGGAACAGAACAGACATCTTCCCGAGACATTCACAAGGAAAACGTGATGAACCTCTCACTCACCGCTCTCTGGGGGGAAACCGTGCTCGTAAATCTCTTTGACCCAACTCTGCAACTCTGCGTCCTGCTCCACGTCCTCATCGCCACGGTAACAAAGGTCCAGCCAGCCAGTCACAAACCTGCCAATACATCACATGACCTCACACAGCCTGGTCTCTGGTCTCTATCTCTCCAGTCTCTGCCCTGTCCTGGTTCATCTCTGGTCTCTCTGGTCTCTCTCTATAGTCTCAGTCCTGTTCTCTGGTCTATGGTCTAGCTGGCCTCTCCCCGGTCTCTCTCGAGTCTCAGTCCTAGTCTCTGGTGTCTCTCTGGTCTACGGTGCATCTTTGGACTCCACTTGTCTCAGTCCTGGTCTCAAGTCTCTCTCTGGTCCCTATGGTCTCAGTCCTGGTCTCCGGTCTCTCTCCGGTCCCTCTGTGGTCTCAGTCCCTGTTTTCAGTCTCTGGTCGGTCGCTCGCTGGTCTCAGTTCTGGTCTCTGGTTCTCTCTCTAGTCTCAGTCCTGGTCTCTGGTCTCTCTGTGGTCCCTCTCTAGTTGCAGTACGGTCTCTTGTCTCTCTGTGGTCCCTCTCTGGTCTCAGTCCTTGTCTCTGGTCTAACTCTGGTCACAAACTTAGTGCAGTGTCTGACCTGCTGAGGGCGTCCCACACCCTCCTGGAGTCCTGGGCGTACAGGTTTTGGGGCAGGTCTCCGATGCCGCGCTCTTCCAGGTCTCGGGGAACACAGAGAGAACTGAAGCTGAGGCGAGAGGCCGAACGGGCCAAGACCAGTGGGAGGGCATCCAGGCCACAGCCGATCGCCTGAGGAGGAGCATAGACTGTATATATACTGTAGATGGACAATGCTAATGCTTGTCTAGCAAAGTAAACTTCTCTGGTCTCTCACAAAATTCTCCTTGGTCCCTCACTTGTCTCCCTCTGGTCTGTCTCTTATTTTTCTCTGGCCTCCCTCTGGTCTTTCTCTCAGGTCTCTATCTCGTCTCTCTCTGGTCTACCTCTGGTCTCTCTCTCAGGTCTCTATCTCGTCTCTCTCTGGTCTACCTCTGGTCTCCCTCTCGTCTTTCTCTGGTCTCTCTTTCTGGTCTCTCTCTGGTCTCTCTCTGGTCTCTCTCTGGTCTCTCTCTAGTCTCTCTCTGGTCTCTCTCTGGTCTCTCTCTGGTCTCTCACCATGTCGAACACTCCTCCATGGTTCAGCATCACGGCTCGAGCCTGAAAGTTGATCTGAACAGACGTCTGGACGTGACTCATGAGAAGCTGGACACAGACGTCAGACCAGAGTTTACAACAGTTTAAATCAATCTGACCATAACTGACTTTGAAAGCAGGATCCCCACATGGTCCATGAAACTGGTATCTGATGCTTACAGGACACTAGAACAGGACACAGAGAGAGACCAGAGAGAGATACAAGAGAGATGGACACCAGTGAGAGACCAGAGAGAGATAGCGAGAGACCAGAGAAGAACCATAGAGAGACCGGAGAGAGAGACCAGAGAAGAACCAGAGAGAGACCGGAGAGAGACGAGAGAGAGAGAGGGCGAGAGACCAGAAAGAAAACAGTGAGAGACCAGAGAGACAGAACACATGGACAAGATGCAGACCTGGTGCAGCGGGTGCACTTCCGGCAGCTGCCTCAGTGTGGCAACGGCGCACAGCTCTGACAGAATGTGCGTGCGCAGGAAGTGCGAGTCGAGCTGATGCACCTGGAAATCGGCCATTCGCAGCCATAGTTTGGCCATCAGCCAATCAGAGGAGTCAGAGGGGAAGAAGACCGGGTTAAGGGGTCCTGGGGTCTGGGCCAACTGAGGACAAGGAGAAGCAGGTGAGGACAGGGGACAGGGACAAGGGCAGAGGAGAGAGACAGCGGAGAGAGACCTGGATGGCGATGGGCAGCAGTTTCCCCTCTGGCCTCAGGTGCAGCAGACACAAGGGGGCGCTCATGTACGTCTGTTTCCCGTTGATCTGATTGGACGGAACTCCATCGAGCACTGAGTAATCCAACAGGAAGACCCGCCCCTTCTGCGGACATCGGTTACCAAACAGGGGAAAGCGCACCACGGTCAGAGGCCCACGAATACAACATGGACTTTATACATTTATATGGACATCAGAAACTTGGCCTATAGTTCACTTATAGTCCAGTTCTGGTGCGGACCTTGTTCAATCCTGGTCCAGTCCCTGTTCAGTCCTGATCCAGTCCCTGTTCAGTCCTGATCCAGTCCCTGTTCCAATCCTGATCCAATCCTGGTTCAGTCCTGGTTCAGTTCTATTCTCACCTGGAGCTCTTGTTGTAGGGAGGTATCTGTAGGCAGAAAGGGGCGGAGCTCTTCACAGGTGATTGACAGGTTCTGGGGGAGGGTCCAGATCCGCCTCAGGACCAGAGGGTTGGATCCGATCTGGGTCTGGAGTCCGAAAAACCAGTCCTCCCTCCAGTGTTTGCGCACTGCCACTGCAGCACACAAGGACAACATCAGAGAGAGATCAGAGAGAGTCCAGAGAGAGAAACCAGAGAGAGTCTAGAGAGAGGCCACAGAGAGAGACCAGAGAGAGAGTCTAGAGAGAGGCCAGAGAGAGACTAGAGAGAGGCCACAGAGAGAGATCAGAGAGAGGCCAGAGAGAGAGACCAGAGAGAGAGGCCAGAGAGAGACCAGAGAGAGATCAGAGAGAGGCCAGAGAGAGATCAGAGAGTGAGAGAGACCTGAGAGTCCAGTGAGGGACCAGAGAGACCAGAGAGAGTCCAGAGAGAGTCCAGAGAGAGATCAGAGAGAGACCTGAGAGAGTCCAGAGAGGGACCAGAGAGAGAGACCAGAGAGAGATCAGAGAGAGAGAGATACCTGAGAGAGATCAGAGAGAGAGACCTGAGAGAGGCCAGAGAGACCAGAGAGAGAGACCAGCCAGAGAGACCAGAGAGAGAGAGACCTTAGAGAGATCAGAGAGAGAGAGAGACCTGAGAGAGATCAGAGAGAGAGAGACCTGAGAGAGATCAGAGAGAGAAACACATGAGAGAGTCCAGAGAGAGAGACCAGCCAGAGAGACCAGAGAGAGATCAGAGAGAGAGAGATACCTGAGAGAGATCAGAGAGAGAGACCTGAGAGAGGCCAGAGAGACCAGAGAGAGAGACCAGCCAGAGAGACCAGAGAGAGAGAGACCTTAGAGAGATCAGAGAGAGAGAGACCTGAGAGAGATCAGAGAGAGAGACACATGAGAGAGACCAGAGAGAGATCAGAGAGAGAGAGAGACCTGAGAGAGATCAGAGAGAGAGAGACCTGAGAGAGATCAGAGAGAGAGAGACCTTAGAGAGATCAGAGAGAGAGAGACCTGAGAGAGATCAGAGAGAGAGACACATGAGAGAGACCAGAGAGAGATCAGAGAGAGAGAGAGACCTGAGAGAGATCAGAGAGAGAGAGACCTGAGAGAGATCAGAGAGAGAGAGACCTTAGAGAGATCAGAGAGAGAGAGACCTGAGAGAGATCAGAGAGAGAGAGACCTTAGAGAGATCAGAGAGAGAGAGACCAGAGAGAGATCAGAGAGAGAGAGAGACCTGAGAGAGACCAGAGAGAGAAACCAGAGAGAGACCAGAGGGAGACCAGAGACCTGAGAGAGACCAGAGAGAGACCAGAGAGAGACCAGAGGGAGACCAGAGACAGGAGAGAAACCAGAGAGACCAGAGAGAGATAACTGTGTGTGTGTGTGTGTCTCTCTCTCTCTCTCTGTATTTGTGTGTTTGTGTGTGTGTGTTTGTGTCTCTCACTCGCAGTGCGGTTTCCTTGTGCGTTCAGCTCAAAGACAGTTTCCATTTGGCTGAAACTGAACCAGGACTGAGCTCGGTCTGAGAACCCTCTGAGGTACTGCAGGTTCACCGTGGAACTGTGGGAGGAGCCAATATCAAAGACTGAGAACTGTGGGAGGGGCCAATATCAAAGACTGAGAACTGTGGGAGGAGCCAATATCAAAGACTGAGAACTGTGGGAGTCATTATTTGTTTCAATGTGGCACCATAAATTATAAAAATTATGTATTATTAATAAAAATTATTATTATTAATTTAAATATGGGTTTAAACTCCCTATGTTGCCTCCAGAGGGAGCCACATCTGCAGTCAGACCAGTATCTCCCTATGCTTGCACCTCTTGTGGGAGTATGTGAGCTCCGGGCCCAGCTCTGATGCACTGCTCACGTCCAAACAGTGTGGAGCTCCCTCTACAAACACACGCCACCTGCAGGAGACACAAGTAACAACACCATATAATGCATACTGTCCATGATACAGACTCTGACTGTGATGCAAGCTGCGCTACGGTGACACTGTGGACAGCATCACCTGTATCTCTGCTGTTTACGTGTCAGCTCTGTGCGGCGGTGAAGCTTCAGCCGTGGCTCTGTCTCCTGGTTCAGCGGCAGCACTGACGACAAAAGGTTATAGGTAAAACCAGTCCAAGATGGCCGCCTATTATTTTTTTGGACTACCATACTTTAGCGCTGTGAACTTTTTAATTCACTCGTTAAATGAATGGGGCTCATACATACATACATCAAACGCGGCCATTTAAAAAAGCACTGTGTAGTCGGACTTCCACAGGCTGGGGTGGAAGTCATGTGAACGTTTTGACCAATCAGAGCAGACTGTAGAGGCCAGCACTGTAAGTAAGTATAAAGTAAATCATCTTTATTTATATACCGCCTTTTGTCCTCCGGCATTTTTCCTCCATTCCAGAGCTATTGTACTGTATTGTAATGTTTTTAGTGGTAGGGGAAACCGGAGTACCCGGAGGAAACCTACGCAGACACGGGAGAACATGCAAACTCCAAACAGAGAGGCCCTGTTCCGACCAGGGTTCGAACCTAGGACCTTCTTGCTGAGAAGCGAGTGCTATCCACTCAGCCACCGTGCCGCCCACTGTGCCCTAACCTTAACCTGACGACAGATCAGACCTGCACAAAATTGTGGAAATAAAGAAGGTTCATGAGACAGACTCAAATCCTCTGAACCCGAGCTTTGAGAAAGCTGTGAACCTGAGGGAGAGTTTGTGTCTGACGTTTGTGGGACATATCCTGTGTCTCCCTGGTGAGTTCAGGCTGCAGTACAACAGACCACCACCACATAATGTTACACATCCCAGTTCAGGACTCACTCTGCTCAGAGCGGATCTCCACGGCATCGTCGTTGCTGCAGATCCAGCGATGACAGTGGAACACCTGTGGCCCCGCCCCCTCATCTATCCCCTCCCCCAGCTTCCGAAGTTCTGCCCGCTCGCAGTGCCAGGGTAGGTCCGGAAGTCCCTTCTGAGTTTCCAGTTTGAACCGGATCAGCACTACCCGACCCAGGGCAGATGCGGCTGCAACGGTGACGGAGCACACCTGCCACAGCCAATCAGAGAGCAGGATAAATATGTAATGTGAGGTCTGTAACACAGGTGTAATGTGAGGTCTGTAACACAGGTGTAATGTGAGGTCTGTAACACAGGTGTATGTGAGGTCTGTAACACAGGTGTAATGTGAGGGCTTTAACACAGGTGTAATGTGAGGTCTTTAACACAGGTGTAGTATGAGGTCACTCACCGATCCCGAGATCAGGTGCTGGGTTCCACTGGTGAGACAGGTGGGCGGAGTCTCTCCCTCTGAGCCAATCAGAGAGAGCCACAGATGGCTGAAGGAGCCACAGCTGAGTCCAGGTGAAGTCCACACTGAAACCTGGTACAACATGGTCTACAGCAGGACTGAGGCAAGACTGGAGCAGGACTCAGGCAAGACTGGAGCAGGTTTAAACACAACATCAACATTAGTGGTGCTCACAAAGGGGAGCTATCCATCCGGAAGCAGTAGATGGGGTGCCACGAAAACCACACCAAACGACATGTTCAATGGTTGTGTGTAGATCAGTGGGGTCACACTAGCCTGGTCTTATCCATCCGTGCACTCTGCCCAATCATCATTTCCTGCATGTAACGTCTGGGTCTGGTCCCTGAGTTTGCGATTACAATCGGTTGGAGGAGGCGGGTTTTGTAGTTAGTTGTGGGTGATGTCAAGAGTGATGCCTAACGGGCAGATTGTAGTTTGGCAATGGCGAAGAAAAGTGATAGTAAAGTAATCTGATCTGGTTCTATCAAGAAATTGAATTAGGAGCAAGAGGAATGTTTAGCAAATGTACTCGCTGGCAAAGATTGTGGCGCTTCCCCCCGGCTCCATAAGCGGCAAAGGAGATGGCTAGGCTAAATGCTAAATGCTAACGACTCACTCGGGCGCATTACATACGTCACGGGAAACTCAGATCCAATCGTTTCAATCTGCAAAAGGAGTTAACCCTTTCCTATAAGTTCACGGAGCTCTATGGAGAAAATCCAGACCTTAGTATGAAATGTAATTTGTACTATGGTGTGGTACGACCAGGCTAGGGGGTCACACCAAAAACCACCCATTTCCTCAAATCTTCAGGTTAAAACTGGACTCACCTGAACAAATGGGTGGAGTCTGATGTGCTCCTGCCCAGGTTTGAGGACCACTTTACAACACTGCAGCTGGAGCACAGCCTCGTGATGTCGTGGATAAAGCAGCTGTATCAGTGGCTGAAACGCTCTCATTATATCATCATCATCTGTGTTTCCAGTGAAATGTCGCCACTTCATTTGAATAAAGTGGTTTTAGTCAAATTAGATTCTGTTTTGCAGAAGAGGAACTGCCCACGTGTGGCATACACCTGTGTTCATCTGAGCCAAAATGTCCTGGATCCTGATCAACTGTTCCATGCTCCAGTAGTTTTCCCGTCTTTCACACTGTTACACCTGTCCCACATGCTCCTCCCCTGTTTATATTTGGTGAAAATGAATTCTCCAATTGCTAACTCCGGTCCGAGCAGAGCCTGCGCAGCCAGTGATGTGACCACATTTACAGCAGTAGATAGAATTGACCGTTTTCATTTTATTCATTTAATTATTTTTTTATTATTGCAATGAGAGTGTGATGTTTTTTTTCTTTTTTACTGTATCTAACATCTATTACAAGAACAAAACAAGATATCAGACTGATACCTCAACATAACACGTTACACATTTCTCAAACTTCTCAAAATGAAATAAACCACAACCACGTACCGCTACGTTGAAGCGTCCGCAGTGACAGCAGGTTGAAGCTGAATGTGACACAGGTGCAAGCTCACCTGGGCACAGAGCCCTGGCCCCGCCCCTTGGCCCCGCCCCCTGGCCTCGCTCCCTCACAAAAATACATGACAGAAGAAAACAGTTTTAGAACTAGAGACATGGATTTTAGGATGCAATCAGTGAAGATGTCAATTTCAAAACATACTCAAACACAGTGTTATTAGTTCCCTGGATGTGATTTGAAAGTTATGTACCCGAGCTTTAAAGTTACGGCCCACCTTTAACCCGTGTTCCTCTCTAGAGAAATGAGGGGAATGTGTCTTGTATTCATTCATTTGCAGTAAAAGGTCCCACCTGAAACTGTAAGTAGAACTCTACACACTGTCTGTGAGTCAGGTTGAATATACACATTATTTTAAGCAAATAACAGTTGGAATATTCAGAGGAAAAGGAAGTTGACAGAGAACAACAAGACTATTCATATAACGATGTTTCTGATGCAAACCGTTTGATCCAGAATTAGTTTTGTGTATTCATGACCTTCAGCCGTAGACGTGACAGACCTGTTTTATGACCACCAGTCCAGTCTGTTGAGGAGTTTAATGATGGACCTAATGACTCTTTTCGAGCTGCAGTCCTAACAGTGGCTCTGACTTAGTTTTCACACCGATAAATCATAACAGGCTCAGATTGATAATAATAATAATAATCTTTGTATAGCACTTTTAAAAACAATTTTTACAAAGCACTGCACAGTCAGCATGATAAACAATAAAAACAGTCGTGATAATAGTTATATCTCCAACAATTAGCCATTAAATAGTCTTCAGTCCTGTTAATTCTTCCATTCACAAAGCCTCCAACATGGCATGTCCTAAATGTGTCCCCAAAGTTCAATATCTTTTTTTTGTTGGAAAGGCATCCATTTTTCTTGAAATGGTTGTGAGCTGCCCATCTGATATTATATTATGTATATCTATAAGCTGCATAGTGTTAAAGAATTATTATGTACAGATATTTTTGGTTCACACATTTATTTTATTGCCGCTTGAAGTAAGATTGACGGCTACACTATAAGACAGGGTGGCCGCGTTACTGCCTGAGGTAAAAGTCCATTCATAAGAAATATGAATAAACCCCTACCTGGACCAAAACAGTTTGCTGCTTAAGTAGAAACACAACATAGAACAATAACAGTGCCCAACTCAAACGACAAAGTATCTGATATGTGCAGGGGCCCTTCTTGATCTGCACCTGTGGACTGTCTCCCCCTTTCCCGCCTGAGACATAATAATACAGTCTATGGACATAATGCAGCACAGCTAAATGTGGAGTTAACAGGACGATGATTGTGCATTTTATACAATTTGAAGAGAACCACAAACTGTGCGGAACCATCTTCGACAAACTCTTCGTCTTCATAACTTTGTATTTACTTGTTTTTGGTATTTTTCTCACGTTCGCTTTTGTCGCACGTGTCCCACTCAAACACGGTCAGTATTTTTGAACATTCTTTCCTCTGATTGTAACCGAAGTTAATGACATTATTAGCCGAATTTTTACAATATTAGACATCCGTCAGAGGTATATTTTTGTTGTTGCAGGATTTGAGTTGAGCTAGCTTCTACATGTTAGCTTCACGTGTGAGCGATGTCACGTGGCGACAGAAACCTCCACGTTCCTGGTGTTTTAAACCTTTTTGTCACTTTAACGACTTTATTTATTACTATTATGGGAATTAGAAAAGTTCTGTGCCAAGATCCCGTCTCTAGGTAGTTCCCTTTTTCCATGTCCTTCAATGCTTGCTTTAAAGAAACTGCCCGTGGCTGCGTATGGCAGATTGGTTCCATAGTGTAGCGGTTATCACGTCTGCTTTACACGCAGAAGGTCCTGGGTTCGAGCCCCAGTGGAACCATAGCTTTTACATTTTAAGGTCTGTTTTTTTATGTGACTTCGATGTTTTGTGCAAATAATGTATGGGAATGCCCCACGCAGCGTTTCGTACATTTGACTTTTATCATCTGCTTTTGTGAGGTCCTTATGACTAAATCTGTAACAAAACCATCTCTCTGAGGTTTATAATAACTGTACTCTGGGATTACATATGCAAACTCGCCTAAATCTGGCACGCCCGTTAATCAACACGTGTTAACACATTGAAAAGATAAAAAATACATTTTTTGACACAGAAGCGAGTTACAATCTAGAGCATCAGCGCCCTCTTGTGGTGGCTTCATGTTAAAACGTCTGAAGTGCGGATATTACGATGATGCGGTCGTTTTTATACATGTTGTTGAAAAAATGTATCATTTATTCATCAACAAGGCTAAGCATAAGTAAAGTGTCGTTTCTGTGTGACTAAAGCTGTGGAGATGCCGGGGATTGAACCCGGGGCCTCATACATGCGAAGCATGCGCTCTACCACTGAGCTACATCCCCCATGATCCTCTGCGCGGGGAACAGGCTTTTTAAATATGAAATCACGTGCTTTGGTCGTTTGTGTGGTGGAAGAGAAATTTTACTTAATTAGCTTCAGAGTAAAACCCCAGAAGACACTGTCCAAGGCTCATGTGGAGAGATTGAACATACCGCCATGTTGTGCTGCTTCTGCTGTGGCCGGCAGAGGGCGCCCCTCCACAAACTTAAGGAATGTTGTTGGAATATTAACTCCTGCACCAGTTAAAAACTAAAATCAGTTTAGTATTGTTTCTGTTGCCAAATTAGCACTTGTTTGTGTAAATCTCAAAGAGCAGTGAGTTCAAGGTTAGTCTGAAATGGGAGGGGGACAAGAGGGAGACAAGTGTTATCAGAGCAGGTGCAAACGTTGGCAGCTGGCCAGAAGGAGTCGTGGAGTCCATACAGTTGTGATGTCATTGACCTTGGATGTAAAGTATAAATGTATGTGCAGGAGTGGTCACGAGAGACTTTTTGCTTTTTCGTCTGACAAGGAGCAGTGAGACGTCCCCGGGGGCCACTCCTTATCTGAACGCGAAGCGAGATCTGTTCGCGGACCGTTATCTTGTAATATTGCTTGCAAAATCTTCAATATAACCTTTTTGAAATCAGGTTTGGTATCTGTCATTTCTATCACTGTTTTAACATTGGTTTTTGTCTCTTGTTGAACTAAAAGGACCTGCAGAACGAAGGGCTGTGTTTGCGGCCTCTCTGCAGCTTCTGGGGCGGGGGAATTCTGACAAATTACTGCAGAACTTGGCGTCGCTCGAACAGGATTTCGACAGGAGACACTAGGACCGGTCAGAGAAAAGATTAATTTGGCGCCAAAGTAAAACGGTAAGATTGTTACCAACTAATTAATCTTTCCTTTCACCTGACCTGAGACCTAAAAATAAAAAAATAAAAAACAAACAAACACCAAGTAGGGTAAATATTGAAGGATTTGCAAGTATTTTATATTTTATTGGGATAATAGTATTCTAAGTCTAAGTGACGTAAGAAAAGGAGAAAACTGTGTGTTTTATCTCAGTGATTGATAGTTAACCTAAAGGAAAGAAAACTGTGTGTGAGGATCTAAGTGATTTATGAGTTAAGGAGTCAACTGTGTGTTATCTCAGTGATTTAATAGTTGAAGGAGAAAACTGTGTGTTTTAA